GATTGTTTGTCTTTTTGTTATTGAGGTGTTGGAGTTTTCTATAAATTCTAGAGATATGCAGTCATTTTTTAATTGTCTTCAGCAGAATTTTGCTAGTATGTGGTACTAATGACATTGTCCAATAATTTCCAGTCTTTTGATCATTTTTCTTTGGAATTGGCACAAATATGGATGATCCCTTCCAAATGATTTGCCAGGTAACTGTCTTCTAAATTTCTTGATATATACAAGTGTCTATATCAGTGTCGCATGTATTTGTTGAAGCCTCTGAATTAGTATTTCATCAATTCCTGGAGCCTTGTTTTTTGCCAATGCGTTCAGCAGAGCTTGTGCTTCTTTCTTCAGAATCAGTGGTTCTTCATATCTACCTCCTGAAATTGCTAAATCTCGACCAATTATTTTTGGTATAGTGACTCTTCCATCTTTTTTGATGCCTTCTGCATTATTCAATATTTTGTCCATAAAATCTATTGCCTGCTTTTTCAGGTTATTGAAGATGAACACTGTACTATATACTAAAGCATTAAGACTAGTGAGAATTGTAGGCTGCAGCAATTACCTTTCTAGTGTTTCAAGAAAACACTACTCTTAACATAAAAATTGAAAGCTTCTATCAAATATCAAGAGAATTCGAGCCATCTTCTGAGCTCTTGGTTTTGAAACAAGCAAGGGACACTGGTTTAAAAAAAAAGTTCCTAAGCTGTACTGCAGTCTTCAAATGTCTCGATATCAGTCTTCATTCTGTCCAGGAAGCAACAGATAGTAAGGGGAACCTGAAATACTTACTATATACCAAAAAAGGCTTAGGTAATATAAGACCAATCTATCCTGTATTTCATAACTTCTGCTATGAATTTTACTATGAAATTTAAGAATATTAATTAAAACAACAGATATCTGATATAATTCCCAAATAATCTCTAGACCATTCAAATATTAAATTCAATCCTTTTTTAATTTCGCAAAATTAATACAATAATTCTATTTTAAAGAAGAAACATACCAGTTAAAGGTGGCTTATGTGAATGAAGAGTACAGGGCACACTGACAATTAATTTATGTTCTGGAATAGGGAGCATCTTTTCATCTGTATTCCTAATTAAAACAGAACAAGAAAGTAAATTATATTTGAAATAATTTTTTACAAGCAAGTCACAATTGCTTTTTTTTCCTCCTTTCAAATAGTATCTGAATTTAAAATGAATTAAGAATAGAAATGAAGGAAATCAACAATTTAAGTACAGTATTGAGACCATAATTTCCTCTTCTACAATAACAATTACACACTATACAAAAAATAGATAATATCAAATTGCATGTGTCATACTGTTTACTCTTTTCTGCTTTGGGCAATTTTCTAATTTTCAAAAATGTAAAAATTAAGGAAAATGATTGGTCATGGTGTTACTAATTTTTTAAAACCCTAAAATTTAATACTTTTACACAAATTTGAAAAATCACCTTTCCTACCTAAATGGTAAAGCAGCTTTCTCTCGAACTCTTCCCAGTATAAGCACTTCATAAGGCTTTTTGTGTAGAGAATCTAATGGAAACACAAATTCTCCTGTATTGGTAATCTGAAATAAAAGAACCAAAAAAAAAGAAGTTTGCGAATATGTAAAAAAAGAGTTATTTTTTTTCCATCACTATACAGTTTCTCCAGGAGCTCTGGTAGCATAGTGCCCAAGGCACTTGACTGCTAACCAGAAGACTGGCGGTTCAAACCCACCAGCCACTCCTCGGAAGGAAGGTTGGGCAATCTACTTCCGTAATGATACTGCCTCGGAAACCCAAGGAGGGGTTGCTATGAGTCGGGTCCAACTCGATGGCACATAACAACAACAACATATAGTATCTCCACTCTTCTGTCAGTTTGTCCTGCTGTGGTGGCTTGTGTGTTGCTATGAGGCTGGAGGCTATGCCACTGGTACTTCAAACACCAGCAGGGTCACCCATGGTGGACAGGTGTCAGCAGAGCTTCCAGACTAAAACAGACTTGGGAGAAGGAAGGCCAATTCTCAAAGAATTGGCCAGTGAAAACCTTATGAATAGCAGTGAAACACTGTTTGACGTATTACTGGAAAACTTTATGAATAGCCCTGAAACATCGTACACAGTGGCTGCAACAATGGGCTCAGGTATAGCAAGGACTGTGAGGCTGGCACAGGACCGGGTAATGTTTCATTCTGTTGTACATAGAGTCACTATGATTCAGAGTCGACTCAACGGCAACTAACAAGAACATATAGTTTCTACTGCAATAAAATTATTTGAAGCTCCAGGCTTGTACTGTCCAATAAAAATAAAAATATAAGCCACACATCCAATTTTAAATGTTCTAGTAACAAAGGAGCTCTAGTGGTGCAGTGGTTAAAGCATTCAGCTGCTTACCAGAATGTTGGCAGTTTGAACCCACCAGCCACACCATGGAAGAAAGATGAGGCAGTTTTCTGTATAGATTTACAGTGCCTTGTAAACACTATGGGTTAATTCTACTCTGTCCTATATAAGGTCATTATGAGTCAGAATCAACTCGATGGCAGTGCATTTGCTTTGGGTACAGCAGCAACACTATAAAAAAAGTTTTTTAAAATGTGATGAAATTAATTTTGATTATATATTTTATTAAATCTAATATCAAAAATATTATTAGTTCTGTACATAATCAATTAAAAATTATTGAGATATGTTACACTCATGTTCTTATACTACGTCTTTGAAATTCAATATATAATTTACATTTATAGCATATCTCAATTAGGACTAGCCACATCTCAAAATTTCAAAGACCTTCTTAAAGTGCTGAAGAGCAAAGATGTCACTTTGAAGACTAAAATACACCTAACCCAAGCCATGGTATTTTCAACAGCCTCATATGCATGTGGTGGCATAGTGCCTAAGGCATTTGACTGCTAACCAGAAGACTGGCTGTTTAAACCCACCAGTCATGCCTCAGAAGGAAGATTGGGCAATCTACTTCCATAGTGATACCACCTCAGAAACCCAAGGAGGGGTCGCTATGAGTCAGATCTGACTCAACAGCAGTGAGTCTTTTAGAGTTTTTCATATGCATGTGAAAGCTGGACAACAAATAAGGAAGACTAAAGAAGAGTTGATGCTTTTGAGTTGTGGTGTTCACAAAGAATACTGAAAGTACCATGGACTACCAGAAGAATGAACAAATCTGTCCTGAAAGAAGTGCAACCGGAATATTGGAATGACCAGACTTCATCTCACCTTCTTGGGTCGTGTTGTCAGCAGGGATCATTCCCTGGAGAAGGATATCATGCTTGGTAAAGTGGAGGATCAGTGGAAAAGGGGAGACCTTCAATGAGATGGACTGACACAGTGGCTGCAACAATGCACTCAGGTATAGCAAGGATCGTAAGGATGGTGCACGACCGAGCAGTGTTTCTTTCTGTTGTACATAAGGTTGCTATGAGTCAGAGCTGACTCGACAGCACCTAACAACAACAACAACACATTTCAAATGGTAAAGAGGTACATGTGGCTTGTGGGTACCATGATGGACAGAAAAGCTCTATTAAAAAAAATCCAAACCCACTGCCATCTAGTTGATTCCAACTCAGCAACTCTTTAGGACAGAATAGAACTTCCCCAAAGCTGTAAATCTCTACGGAAGCAAGCTGCCTCATCTTTCTCCCATGGAACAACTGGTATATTTGAACTGCCAACCTTTTGGCTAGCAGCTGTATGCTTTAACATATATACCACCAGAGTTCCATGGGATTAAATAATATTTAAAATATAACTTTATTATCAATTTGCACTCAGACAATTTCTACTTTTTATTAAATTTATTCTTGTAAACCATGTCATCATTAATCCACTTATCCATTCATTCAAATAACATTTACTGACTAAATAGATCATAATAAAGCTTTCTCCTTTAGTTATAGAAATTTGTGTCATTAAATACTGTCAAAGCTAACATTAATAAGGAAAGAAACTTGATGGTTGGTGAGCTACCCAATACCCAGTCCAGAGACTAGGCCCTGGCATTGGAAACTTAGAAATTCAATTTTAACATTTCACCCTGGAGTAATCACTTTCAAAACTCACTCAAACTAATCAAAGCATAATTTATAATAAAAATGCCAATTACACTTATAATAAGAAAATTATAGTAAGAATCATATAAAATTATGTAGCATAGTACCTAAGGCACTTGACTGCTACATAGAAGGCTGGCGGTTCAAACCCACCAGCCAATCCTCGGAAGAAAGGTTGGGCAATCTACTTCCATAGTGATATCGCCTCAGAAACCCAAGGAGGGGTCGCAATGAGTCGGGTCTGACTCAAAGGCACATAACAACAACATTATAATAAGAATTCCATTGGGGAATAAATATTTCCATTTTAAGAATATTCATATCTATTAATATGAAACTCTACTCTCTATCAAGGTACCTGAAAGACCTAATCAGTAATCAGTAGGTCCTTCTAGCTCCTCTAGAGCCCATCAGACACAACTCTTATGCATATTTTAAATTCGAGGGCTTTTGTGGAAGTCATTGAAGCAGAGAATAGATATTTAAAAGGATGTCCAATAAACTGATGCCTTATTTTTCTGTATTTTTTGGTATTCTTATAGTAAGCAGAGATACTAAGATCATAAACACTTATACATAAATTCTTAGTCTTTCAATACCTTTCACACTCAATATAGATTATCCCTTTGGTTATAATATGTATAATTAATAAATTTTTCATGTAACGTATTTTTGTTTTAAAAGCTAGTCTTTTCAGTAATCCATTTACAAAACATCTCTTAGAACTGGTTACTACTACAGAAGATTAATCATAGGTTTTATGTGTTAACATTTTACTGGTTTTGGTTTCATAAAGTAACCTCTTCTTGACTTTGACCCCAGTCTCTGACTACAAGAGGACTGTCATAAAGAGCAGGATGGGGGTAGGAGTGGGGTTACAGTCCTGTCATGGTCCTATACCAAATCAAGCAAAACTAAGACCACAGATATACCAAGAGAGTAAATATACAACTGACCAATGTACAAATAAATAATGTACACAGCTTTTTATAAAATATTCCAATAGACTACAAGGTATACACAAAGCACATAAAAATACAACTGTGTTGTGTCTGAAATTAATAGACCACCTATGTAAATGTTAAACACTTAACTGACAATAACTTGGTTTATCTTTTTAAATACAAGGGCTTTTGTGGAAGTCATTGAAGCAGATAATAGATATTTAAAAGGATGTCCAATAAACTCTGAACTGATGCCTTATTTTTCTGTATTTTTTGGTATTCTTATAGTAAGCTGAGATATTAAGATCATTCAGTCAACCCTATAGCTGGAATCATTTCAAAATCATTTCTTTCACTATAGCATGAAAGGAGCTAAAGACCTAAACTAAGATTTACATCAGAAAAAGTTCTTCATTCTGGCATCTTCCCACTTGGGTTACTTTGCTATACTCCCTCTTGTACCGTGGAACATCAAAAATAAGAAAGTCACAAAAGGTGACACACACAGGTGAGACTGTGTGTGTGTATGTGTGCAAAAGAGAAGGCAAAGTATACAATTTTCCATGTTTAATGCTTGTTACAGATTGAAATGTATTTCCAAAAAAGCTATGTTGAAGTCCTTACCTCTGTATCTATGAATGTGACCTTGTTTGGAAACACAGTATTTCTTTGAAGATGTTATCCATTAAGTTAATGAGGTCATACCAAGTAGGGTGGGTCCTAATCCTTTCTGAATGCTATCTTAGAAATTCAGTGAGCAAACACAGAGACACCCAGGAGGAAGATCCCAAATGAAGATCCATCTACAAGCCAAGGAATGCCAAAGACTGCCAGGAGCAAACAGAAGCTAGGAGAGAGGCATGGAATGCTCTTAGAGGAATCATTACTGCTAATACTCTCATTTGGACTTGCAGCCTCCAGAACTGGGAAATAATAAAAGCCACCCACTTGCGTTTTGTAATAGCAGCTCTACAAGATGAAGACAGTGATGTACAGATGCCCCAAAGTTTTTGTCTGTTGTTCTGTAAACTACAGATATTAGAGTTTTTTTCAATTCCATCCCGATACCCCAAGTGATTTCTCAAGGCTAGTGGTATGGGATTCTACCACAAAAAGACTGAAGAGACAAGTTATATCATTGAGAATAAGATGGTGTTTAGCAGCAAAGTAAAAGTTTTCATTTAGACCATATTGAAGGTGTAGAGCAGTGCCATGGTAAGGTTTAAAAAGTAGATACTACCTTTATGTGATTTATATATCACACTACATTAAAAAATAAATTAACTTCTGAACTTACTTTTACCCAGTGCCATTCAGCAACTATCTCCACAGACCAAGAAGGATAAAGTTCTTCCTTTACAAAACGCAGGTGCTTCTGTCTATTGGTCACCCAAGTAATCACAAGACAGTTAGGAGCAACCATTTCAGGAACAGGTATTTGTTTTATTTGCATAGGTGATAAATAACTATACCTAAAAATAAACAGGAAAAAATATATTTTTTTAAAACATCACCACAAAAAAAAAGAAAGAAAAAGAAGCAAAGAGAAGACCTGTGAAACATTGACTCCCCAAACAAAATGCTTTTATAACTACTTTTGTAACTAAATATGGAGCCACAGTGACATCCAGTGGACACATGTTTATACACAAAACGAAAAAAAAAAACAAACTCACTGCCATCAAGTTGGATCTGACTCATAGCGACCCTTCCTTGGGTTTCCGAGGCAGTATCACTACAGAAGTAGATTGCCCAACCATCCTTTCAGGGAGTGGATGATGGGTTTGAACTGCCAGCCTCTGGTTAGCAGCTGAATGGGTTAGGCACTACGCTACACAAGTCAGAAGTAATTTCATTTTTCAGGTTTACTAGCTTAAAATTGTCAGGCTATATTTTTTATCACTTGTAAATATATTACACTTCAGTTATTTTATTAACATTTAAGATGCTTTTCTCGTATTTAGAATAAACCATATATTATTGTTTTGATCCTATGATCTATAAAAACTTACCATGTCAACAACCCAAGTTGCACATAGGTGATGGTCACACAATATTGTGAATGTATTAATGACACTGAATTATGTACTTAAAAATTGTTAAAATGGCAAATTCTACTACCTATCTATCATACCACAATAAAAAAATACATAAAAATAGTGTCAGGAATCAGATCAGCAGCCACCTGGACTAGGGGATTCACTGGGAAAGGGCAGGAGATAACTGGGGTAATGGAAATGTTCTGCATTCACTGGGGTGGTAAACAGAAGGATTTATACATTTGTCAAACTCATTAAACAGTACTGTTAAAATGTATGTTTTAGTGTACATGAATTATACTTCAATAAGGTTACTCTACAAGAAAAAAAAAATCTACAGACTACACCTGACACCAAGTAAGTACTGGTTATACTGAAGACAATTTATTTCAACAAAGCTGTTCTATCTCTCTAATCCTCAAATCCTGCCCAAAATGCTGATCCCTTGGTTATCTATCATCTCTCATCCTCATCCATTGTATTTTCAACCTATAACTAGTTACTCTGCTTCTTTTTCCCTTTCCAGTCAATTCCACTAGGCTCTCTGAAACCTTTATTCTTTCATCTGAAAAAAAAAAAAAAAAAAAAAATCTCTATAGCCTTGCACTTCCTGGCCATTAATAGTATGAAGTCTGGTTTCTCTTCCTAGAACACTACTTGCTCTACAACACCCAATCAGGTATGGTCCTTTCCCCAATACTCAAGACACCTAATGGGTAGGGGACAGGTCAGTATTCACCTAGCTACCCTTTTGCTGCTTTCAGTCTATAAATCATTCATTTTTCCATTTAAAAAAAAAAAAAAAAAAAAACTTCTTTTAAGAGTTAGGCCATCTAGCTATCCTACCTTCAGTCTTCCTTATCGAACCCATTTCATCTTCACTCTCCAGATTCAATGACAACTCAATCTCTGAGAGCTCTCTACTTCATTTACACAACCTTGCCATTATATTGGACAATTTCAAAGCACAATGCATATAATGTGCATACCTCAACTCTCCTTTGCCTAAACAAAGAAAAAGTCATTCCATTTCAGTAATTCATTCCAATGTCCACAACCTGGACCTGCTTTGCTCAGACTTGCTTCATCTCTGAAACTAACCACCAATCTCTGGCCACAACCTATCCCTCACCTATTCTTTGACTTTATCAAAGCAATCAGAGCACCAAGCCTTCATTTCACTGAGTCTTATCAGTTTATTCCTGATCACAAGTACTCTTCTTTCACACAGGCCACTGGAATAAGTCATTTCATTGCTTTCTCAAAAGGACGTTCAACTTCCAACCTCCCTTTATCTACCAGTCCCACCATTCCCGCAAAGCTCCGATCCTAAACCAATACCACACTTTAATTCATCTTCATACTAAGAAAATCAAGTGAAGAAAAACAAATTACTTAATAAATACTTACTAAATTCACTCTCAGCTTTCAACATACTAATCAATTCTCTTACTTCACCTACACTAAAAACAAAACGAAACTCACTGCCATCGTGTCAAATTCAACTCGTAGTGACCCCCTTTGGGTTTCTGAGGTGGTATATCTTTATGGAAGTAGATTGCTCGGTCTTCATTCCACGGATTGGCTGGTGGGTTTAAACTGCCAACCTTCTGGTTAGCAGTCAAATGCCTTAGGCATTACACCTCACCACTTTTCAAGTCCCTTACCCGTTACTCCTGGCATGTGAATTTAAGTCATACACCAGTAAAATATACATAAAAGCCATCAGACTCCTTCATCCACCCAACCCTGTCCTCCCTCTTTAATACCCACCCCTTCACTTACCTATTCTTAAATATTTCCTCTATTTTCTTCTTTTGATGGAAAGCTTAATCCATCTATGCTTAAAGTAATTACCAATTAAAAAGCATTTACTTCTGCTATTTTGCTCTTTGTTTTTTTGTATCAATTTGTGTTCCTCATTTCCTCTTGCGCTTCCTTCATGTTTAGTTGATTTTTTGTAGTAAATCATTTTGATGAAAAGGTTCTTCTTCCTTTTGTGTACACTTTTTAGATATTTTCTTTTTAGATATCATGATAGCTTCATCTAGTAATCTATTTTAAACTGATGCCAACTTAACTTCAATAACATACAAAAGCTCTATCCCTTTATTACTCCTCTCTTCCCACTTATGCTATCACAAATTATATCTTTATACATATTATAAAGTATTCAAAAACATCAATTTATAATTATTTTATACTTCTGTCATTTTAAATCACGTAGGACATAATTACTAGCCTTGTTGTTGTTATGTGCCGTCAAGTCAGACCTGACTCATAGTGACCCCTCCTTGGGTTTCCAAGGCCGTATCACTACGGAAGTAGATTGCCCAACCTTTCCTCCACAGAGTGGCTGGTGGGTTTGAACCACCAACCTTCTGGTTAACAGTCAAGTGCCTTAGGCACTATGGTACCAGAAAATATTATAAATCTGGATCTTGTATTTTCCCATGAAATAATTTTATCAAAGATCTTTTTTCCTATTTAAGCTTTGAGTTACTATCTCATGTCCATTTGTTTCCATCTGAAGGACTCCTAGTAGCACTTCTTGTAAGGCACATTTTGTCATAACAAACTCACTGTTTTTGCTTATTTGGGAATGTCTTAATTTTGTCCTCATTTTTGAAAGACATTTTCCTTGGTAGGCATTTCTTTTTTTTTCAACACTTTAAGCATGAAATCCCACTGCCTTCTGGCCTCAAAGGTTTCTGAGGAGAAACTGACACTTAATCTTACTGAGGAACTCTTTATGTGATAATTCAATTCCCTCTTGCTGATTTCAAGATTCTCTCTTTATTTTTGGTTTTTAAGAATTTGATTATAATGTGTTGCAATGTGGGTCTCTTTAGATTTTTCCTAACTAGAGTTCACTGAACTCCTTGGATATACAGATTCATGTTCTTTGTCAATTTTTAAAAATTTCTGTCATTATTTCTTCAAATATTTTTTCTGTCCTTTTATCTCTTCTCCTTCTTAGACTATAATAATGTATAGGTTTGTTAGCTTTATGGTATACCATAGTTTCCTTAGGCTCTGTTCATGTTTCTTTATTCTAATTTTTGCCTCTGAAACTGGAGAATTTCAAATGTCTTATCTGCCAGTAAGTACAGTGGTTAAAGCATTCAGCTGCTAACCAAAAAGTCAGTGGTTTGAATCTACCAGTCACTTTGTGGGAGAAAGATGAGGCAATCTGCTTCCATAAAGATACACAGCCTTGGAAACCCTGTGGGGTAGTTGTACTCTGTCCTATCTCTATCAGAATTGACTCAATGGCAGTGGTTTGGTTTGGGGTTTATCTTCTAGATCATTCATTTCTCCTTCTGCCAGCCCAAATCTGCTAATGAGCTCCCCTCCAGTGCATTTTTTCCTTTCAGTTATTGTAGTTTTCAACGCCAGGAATTGCTTGGTTCCTTTTCATAGAATTTATTGCTTTATTAATATTCTCATTTTGTTCATGTATCATTCTCCTGATTTCCTTTAGTTATGTAATCATGTTTTTCTTTAGTTGGTTGAGCCTTATACTATCTTAAGTGCCTTCTATTCTGTTCATAATCTGGCCTGTCATAAAGATGAATTCTGTCACTTCATTTTGATCTTCTATATAGGCTATCTTTTCCTGTCTCTTTATATGTCTTACTTCTTTGTTGAAATCTGGACATTTAAATGTGATAACGTTAGCTCTGAGATTTCCCCAGGATATAAATTCTTTCAAACTGTTGAAGGCTATAATAGCCCATTTGTTCAGCACCTTCCCTTAACTATTTTTAAAACAACTGCCCTCCTTGATATGTGTAAGCAGAGAATTCAGTTCCCCAGCCTGCACCCAAATAGTATTTCAAAGGAGACTTCCTTGTACTCCAGGGAAAAGAGAGAAAATAAATAATTACTAATTTTTTAAAAAACAAAACACACACACACAAATACCTATCCCAGTCTTTGCAACTTGGCTCTCAGTTGCAGCCCTATTTCAACCCTGAGACTTGCTGTAGTATATTTAAGAATCCACATTGGAAGGAGCAAAGTTATGATAACTCCTTGGCAAAAGTCAACCATCCTGAGGAAGCAAGTAGTTGGATCTGTGGGCTCAGGACCATGGTTGCAGGGGATATCAAGATCAACTGGCAAAACATACTACACAAAAACATTGTTCTAGATCAATTCCAAGATAGCGGAATAGGCAGAAACGCTGCACAGACCCTCTTCAAAAAAGAAAAGGGAAACCAATTAACACAAACACAGAAAATAATCCTGGACCCCTGAGCCTTGAAGGGAAGGATACAGAAGTGCACTAAACCCCAACTAGCAGAAGAATTTGCATGAAAATACCAAAAAAGTAGATATACGGACCTGCGGTCTGGCAGTGATCCTGAGCGATTCTGACAGCACAGACGGCTTGGAGATTTCGAGTGGTGGTAGGAACTAAGAATTAA